TATATCTTAATAAAGTCACACTCTGCAATTTACTCTACATACGTACTTGACGCTTAATGGTTCGAATTGAATTGCAGCGACGAGACGATAAAAGTCGTTCTTTGGACAAACTAGTTGTGAAGCAAAGGATCTACAAATAGTTTACAAAATCTAAGGGAGAGGTATTATCATTATGTGGAAACGATGCTACGTTCTAACGTATTTGGCACAAGAAGGACGTAAAAGTTATCTGATTAACACTGACAAGAGCAAATAATGATTTGTCCCGTTAACATAACTCATTCAATTTAATAAATAAGCGTTTTAGAATTAACGTTTCATGTCGAAAAAAGAAAGGTACAGTACACAATGTGTCATAGTACAGCACGTAGCATCAACGATTTGATATTATGACTCATTAATAAATAAAGCGTTTAAAGAAAATTTAAAATCAGTTATCGTTTCATGTCAAAAAAAGAAGAATCAAAGTACAGCAACATTAACGATGATGTAAACTTATATGAAATGCATCGTATAACGTTTTGCAAGATTTGAAAATATAAAATACAGCAATTTTTTGCCAGGATCAATTGTCCACTTGTTGACCTAGCTCGCCTTTACTTGTATTGACAGAAATTTTATCAGCAACAGTTATCCACCTTCCTTCAACAATAATCATTAAAAACAACTATTCGATTTTATACACGCTTATACTTTATCCATATTAATATTACAAAAACTCCGTTTATTCAGCCAACCCGCTGAAAGTAATTTGAGCTTTCGAAATGAAATCGCTTTTTCCGATTCCGAATAATGTCCAGCCAGACGCTTCAACTCCACCAAGGTATGTTTATGACTTGACCAAAAATTTACTTGGCACGCATAACTGTGTTGTCTGTGTTGTCGACTCTAAAAACGTGTGCTTATTTTGTCTTTATTAAAATAGCAAAGTGTTAGTAAAATAAAATTAAGATTGGTTTATTTGTTACTTTATTTTCTAATTATTTTAGTGGTGTCGAAGCATCTGAACCATCACCGTTTGAAGCAACCCCATCGCGTCAAAGCAAAGCAAGTTCTGATGCAAAAGTTAGAAAACCTGGTCGACGTTCTGACGCAAAAGTCAAAAAACCTGGTCGAAAACGCGGACGCAAATCTACGAGAAAATTCTCACCAGATCCGGATTATACTGGACATGAACCTATACCACTAACAGTAAAAAACGATATGGAAGTGGACGAAAAAATTTGTCCTCATGATTTAGACGAGAATCTATTAGGCGTTGTGATAGCGGCGCTTGATCGAGTTCATGGCATGTCAGAAAATCGAACCGACGATGATACCGCTCATCAGAATAATTTGGCAACAAGAGAACGACTTAGTTTGATGGTAAGTTGCATTAATCATGTAGCTGTTGTCTAAAATGTGTTAATAAGAATAAATATCAACATATTAACTTTGTTGTTTTTTAGAGCATCGAACAACTTGTCGAACATGCTTTCAATTCCGCGATAGCATGCTTATACTACAACGGTTACTAATCGTTGCTTGAAAAAGCAAAACATTTGTGCTACTTTATTTTCTGTACGTAAAAGCGCGGCGCGTTTACAACGTTATTTTTCGTCTTTACTATTCTTTGTGCTATTCCTCGTTTTTATCCTTTTAATTTTATTATCCTTTGTTTTTTTTTCCTCGCAACAGAGTTTGTTATTTTTTCGCAATGTAATTTGTTACGCTTAACCCACTTTCGTTTTTCAAGATAATTACGTGTTCAATTACGTTATAGATAATGTCTCTCCTTTCGTTGACAATATCGTCGTTGCATTGTCGATTTCCTATGCTAAAGTTTGATAGGGTGGTGGTTATGTAAGACAACAAGTTTAATTACCAATAAGATAAAGCACAACAAAACGTGCAGATAATATACAATACATGGGAAGTTATAGTTAAAATTACATGTAAAACATACTATGCAATTCGCTTACATGATTTTCGTTTTCACTAAACTTTATACGTTAGAACATTACGTTAATTTCTGATTAAGAAATTTGTATGCAAAAAAATACAATAAATGTTAGAGCTGTAAAGTAGTCAATTTGATAAATGATTGTTGCTCAAGTGAATTAAATTACAAAGTCTATTGCGTTTATGTAAAGATGGTTTAGTAATAATCCTGCTATTTCGGCATGGCATTGAATAGTTAAACTCTAACAAAACGTACTGCTCGCTAATTGCAGAAGAAAAAAAAACTAGTACGGATATACAAACTCATGCATAAGAAGCTCACATTATTGTATATAAGCACTTTACTTAAAAAGTTAGAAGTTTAGACTGTGCCTGCCCGGCTTCGTCATGCAGGCTTGAATGTCGGGGAAATGAAATACACGAAATGCAAGGCTACCAGAAAATACAAAATGTAAAATAGATAACCCGATAGCGATATTACTAATACTAACGCTCTGTAATAAACGCAGTAAAATTAGAATAATGTAATTGACACTTGCAATTGCCAGCAAATCAACGTTATTCATGCACATATTTCCTTGCAATACCAGGGGCATTTTGTCTCACACAAAATAACACATATATCCGCTGTCATTTTACTGGTTAAAAGTATTCTGACAAAATGGCATACGAGGTTATTACTTTCTTTCGTATATTGCATTTTCTTACTCCAAGATTAAGCATTAACTGCTACATTTTATACTGTAGGAATCTGAAAACTCGATCTCCATCAATTGTGTACTAATGTCGAACAGCACTGTAAACCAAAGTAACGCCATCCCTAAACTTATAAGTGCACTAATTGAACAAGGACGCACCTCCGCAGATGTGCAGATAAAAGAATTGCTAACGGACGTACAGTATCCAGAAAATCTTTACGCTCTCAAATACATTCTCGAACATGAAGGAAATTCAGTGTCATTAGAGATGTTAGCAATGGCAATGGCAGGTCTGTGCCCTCAAACAAACGACATGGCATTTTCAGAAGAAGAAGCGCCTATTAAACTGGAATGGCAATTACGAACCGTTGCAGCTATCCTAGAGCAATTGTCTGAGCGTAAACCTACACTTACAAGGCAGTTTCTTGATAACCTTAAAAAGACGGCTTCCATGTACAAAAGGGCGAATGAGAAGATTTCGCAACATGAAAGAAACTTTTGGAAGCCGAATTGTTCAGACGTTAATAAAGCGGATGAAAGTACCAAAGGTTTTGAATGCAATTATGACAATAAATATCTCTTCAAACTTATTAAGAATACGTTAAATAGTATTTGTGGTGACGGGAATCATCAGCAGACTAGTGTAGATCGAGATATTGCAGCATTGAAAGCTTTACTTGTTTCCTCACCTGCATCAGTTAAAATGGGGCTCAGAATGACTACTGGTGTCGAAGTTTCTCTTGGCGATTTTGAGTTGGAAAGAGCATGGATGTATCTTACAGAAGTATTCCAGGTTGAGCCATCAGGTAAACCATGGTACACGACTTGGAGAAAACTCATTAAATTACAAAAGACTCTTGACGAGTGGAGTCGGGAAAAGGAGTATGGCATACCAATAACTTTTACAGAGCGACTATTTCTTGAATTTCTCTGGTTTCAAATGAGTTTGTGTTATTCAGATGGTGCAACAGCAGAGAATCAAGAAGTCAATGATATACTTTGGTTTGGAGTTTTAGATCTTGTCCAACAGCTTATCCAGAATACGTTTTCTGTAATTTCACAAGCTATCTGCTATTACCTAGCATTGGACTCGCTCAATAATGCAATCAGTGAGTTTATTCAATTCAAGTCAATTGAAGTCTTGTTGAGTCTTGAAGTCAAAAATAAGGAATTGTTTGTTACTACGCCTGATGATATTGTTAGTTGTGATGAGGAGCATACACCAAAACTGGAAATGTATCATTATCTGAAAGAAAAACTAGAGGTAGAATCAAAAATGCACTTAAAATACTTATTATTACCAGATGATAGAGAGATAGGACAGGATAAGGAAAGCAAGGCTAAAGGAAAATGTAACAAGAGCCCAATTGACTATGTTGCAGAAGAACTCAAATGTCCAATTACTGGTGAAAATGTTGATGGTTTGTTTCAACTTGACTGTCAACATTTACTTAGTCTCAAGGTTCTTTCATCTCTAGAGAAACAAGAATGTCCTTACTGCAGAACTGAACTTAAAAAGAACAGTATATATTATTTACCACAGCAGATGATATACAATAACATTCAATTCTATATTACAAAAGATGATTATGATTCAACAGTTGAAAACAGCACAGCTGTGGTATTATTTGATCAGCAGGATAATCTTAAAAAAAAGAGAAGATTTAATACTGTTAGTACTTTGAACACAATCTGGAAGACAATAACGGCACCATATGTAAACAATTTACTACAGAAGGTGTCAGATCCGACGGATATCGATAATAATCTTCCGTGATTTCCGCTCTGTGGTACGAACGATCTACAATGGCTGCG